TATATATATATATATATATATATAGACGTAGATAGCGCAGCTCATTGTCGGTGGGTACAATATGCAACTTTGTGGAGGATTTGAGGATGTCCCTATGGGTGGGAGGTAAACTTTGTGTTGCTTTTTTTGGAAAGCACAACTGAGGCTTAGAGGTCTTTGCTGCTGTAGCAACAATAAGCCACGTCAATCACTCTAAATCTCCATTCATCCCAGCGTTGCAGTAGCGGAGGGAGCTATCAACAACCACTTAGGCTAGGAGTGAATGGCACTGAAGGGCCACGTGAGTGTTGTCCACTACGGCAATTGATTTAAAAATAAAGATTGAATTGCCAATGTGTACCTACAGTAGTTCAAGCCGTGTTCCTAGTGAAGTCTTCCATCTTTGCTGCATGCATTGGACGAAGACAAAGTACCTAGGTGCCCGAGTATTCTCTAAATCTGCACATAGCCAAACTGAGGAAAACCAAACCAGCCGGGGCTCGAATTCCCGTTCATCACAGACTCTGCCTCAGCTGCTTAACATCTTGCCGGAGGAACTCCTCAACCCTATCCACTGACCGAGGTACAACCTGAAGACAGACGAATTGCCTTGTCTGTCAGTTCATTCAAACACTCACAATGTCCTTGTGTGGTGGTCCTGACATCCTAAAACATCCACCACTGCAAATGAAAATAATACAGGAGGGCGTGACAACATTGTGGGTCACAATGGAGAAGTTAACGAACCGTTAAGTTGCGTACGCCACTTTTCGTGATCAGGACATCATCTTCCAGCCGCACCCCCCCAACGGACCTGTACCTATCGATGACGGTAAAGTCCAACAAACTGTCAACGTCAGTGATAAACACAGACCCGAATACACGTAGGGTTAACGACACGCCGTAAAGCAGTTGCCATGTGGCACCATTGGCAATAAGTAGCCTGCAGAAACAGCTTCGCAATGTTTTCTGGCGGTTCTACTCACTGGGCCTGCGACGGGTTGGAGGCTGCTTGCTTTAATAAATTGCTAACGAAATAACATCCTGGTTCACAACAACCAAACAAAGACAGATCGGTCTCTGACGAAGTGGGCATTCAACACAGTGCATGCCATGTCTATGCCAACCGGGACACGCAGCATGAGAAGCCAAACTATTCAACCCACGCAGCATTAAAGCGGCTAACCCGGTTCAACGGTAATGCACATGCCCTCCTCAAGGGTTCTGGTGGTACGGAGGTAACGGAGGCCTGGAAGGTCACTCGGAGGGGAAGCAGGCGTAAAGCCTCCAACATCATGAGTGTCCATTCCTAAAAAGTGCCCAAGACCATGAGGCATGAAGACAGACCCGATACTGGCAGCCACGCAGTCTTCCAGAGATCCAACAAGAAGCCCAAGAACCTGAGATGATATTTGTCGAAAGAAAAACAAAGGAACGACAGGGAAACATTATACAATGCGCTGATATCAGCTTCGTGTTGCCTATCATTCGTGCAGCACAGCCCGAACGCACTGAAGCACACAACCATATGCTGCTTGAAAAACATGCACAATGCGCTCCAGAAATTGCATCACAAATGGCGTAGAGAATATACACAAAAGCGCAGCAAAATCGTGCAGGAGTTGTCCCAGCACCAGCAAAAGCGATGGCACCCCTAGGTCTTCGTCATGGTGCAGTGCAGCAAGCACTCATAGCGCCAACTATCACCCCTGACCTTCAAATGCTTGAGAATAGTACGCTCGGCCAATCGATGAAGTTCTGTCCATTCAACACCAGGTCGCATGCGCTCAATGACAGCCAGCTGTGCGTCCAGCACAGCTTCATATATTGCTCTCTGCGGTCCTGTAAAAACCCCACTCGAGGGGTAGGTGAAAGTAATGTCTGTGGCATAGCCATTGAAGTCTCCACCCTGGAAATGCACACGCCCAAAGAAACGAAAATAATAATTAGCAAGGACGGGATGGAGGAAATGCTCATTGCTTTACTCAGTGCGCAAGCTGCACTGTATGTGCTTCTGCCCTTTTATAAGCACCCTAGGACCGATGGTCCTTTCACCTACCATATCGAAGAGCAACAAATCACTGCTTCCGATTGCTGCATCGTTTGGGCGGCCCGCATGACCGTAGTGGAGGATTGATGCATTGACGCCAGCACTCCAGGAAAAGCAAAAAGACAACAAGAAAAAGCGGACGAATACACGCTGTTCGTGATGAGGCAAGATAACTTGTTCGTGTGGCAATACATAATAGGAATAAGCAGACGCGTGAGAACAGATACCTACGCATGTATTGCGAATTCCGCGCTAGGTAGATCTTCCCACATATAAATTACAAAAGCTGAATCTGGAGAAGCAAGTACACGAACGCATGTGATTAGTCCGTGAGAAGATGCGGTGAAAGCCCACCCACCAGCATATACAGTCATAGGCTACATGTCGAGCACCCCCGACAAACCCAACGTAAGCCTTGAAGAGAGCTTCCGCCTGACCCTCCACCATTCCACACCGAACTTGCCTCGCAACAAAGCAGTGGGCTTGGGACGAACACAGGCAGGCAGCAGCCAAGAACTCTGCCTCCCGGGGTGTCTGCGTAGGAAACAGGTAACATCGTTCCCCAGCATGGCCTGCAGTGCAACAGACCCTTACCATGTGGCGAGACAAACCACATCCTTAATAGCAGAGACAGCGCCTCAAACTGCAGAATTTTTTAGTTCGCCCCTTGGGCATGAACCTTTGACACAAGATCTTATTTCTTTCCCAAACCCCTGGGATTGCTACCGCCAATTACTACTCGCTGTAGATGGAACTCTGGAGAATAACCGAGCCACAGCACTTAATGACCTACAACCGTTCAGGAATTACCTTTCGCAGTCTGCAATCCACAAGTATATCGTAGAGGGCCTGATCGTCGATGGAAAAAAATGAAAAGCTGCTGATGGCCTTTGGGGGCCCCACAGGCCGCCCGCTGTCGGAGTTAACCCCTTTCAGAACAAGCAGTGTATGAATGCCTCGCCGCTGCAAAATTGAAACAGCAGACCTTGAGGATGAATCCGAAGAGCACCCCGCCTGTTGCTTGTTCTCTCGTTCGTTTCCTTCTGTGAGAGCCTACCCTTCCTTGCCTGACCTATCTACACGGAAATGCGGACTTGTCGAGTGGTAATTATATGAAGTTGCCTTTCATACCCGTAACTCTTCCTCCACCTCTTTTAGATGCTTCACCTCAACTACGTCTGTCACTGCATACCGACTGACGTAAAAGTTGTTGTCCTTCGGAGGGCCCATGAACCTGGCAAGCGATGAACAACGAAGCAACGCAGGGTTCCGAGAAAATTAGGCATGTATGCACCGCTTCCTGCAGAGTTACGCACAGCCTGAAAAGTAAATATAATCACCTTAGGGCGTCCTCAGGTATCTTCGGGGTAAAAAGCACAAGCTCTTCGGATGCCAAAATATATGCCGCATAAATATCGGGCTCGTTTATTCCAATCAAGTGCTGGAAGAAGGCCTCTTGCCTAAAGGCCGCCTTGTTGCAGTCAGCTGCAAAAGAGCAACAAACTTTTGTACGTGGTTCCGTGTGCAACAACAGGAGTCATCCCTCCTCTGTTAACTAGGCCTACAGATGCAGAGGAGCGTAGTTTATACACTAAACGCGGACCAATATCAACGAGCGGAGGCTTGAAGGTTTAAGGGCCAATGCAATGCATGGTTCCCAGAGAGAATGGCAAAAGTATGATGAACATAAAATATAAACGCAGTGACAGTGGGACAGACTGACAAGAATACAGCATCCATTCATCGGTTGTTCCGCCTTCCAAGAAAGCTGCCACTCCTTCCTTCGCCAAACCCTTCGCCCTGACCGCCTCAATGAAGTTCCGTCTAACCTGAAAATACGAAGAGCATAGGCGCGTGCAGTCTACACGGGAACGTTTGAAAGGTGAATCAGCTCCAATGATTCTTTTTGCATTTCCCCACTAAACGTGTTAAGCGAAATCCGTCACAAAGGGAGCCCCATAAAGGAAAGGATAAAGGGACAAGCAAGTAACCTGAATAATACATGAGTCACGATAACTGTTTTGTTGCTTCCTTGCTTTTCTCACACACCGCTGTGCCCGGTGGATCTGCACACTCCATGGACTGTAAACATACTTCTTCAAGTTTCTCCTTGTGAATCAGGGGGCTTGTCAAGTATTCCCTCAGCAGAAGGTGGTCGTCAGATTCTTGTAGGCCTTTCCATGTGGTTGGCCACGCAAGCCAGGGTCGGTCTGCTTGCTGAGTGGTTTCCAACAACTGGCTCAGCCGCTTTCGTAAGTCCGCAGAATGGACATTTTTGCCATCAGATCCTATAGCAGAAGTGAAATTCATGGTTGTTTATGTTGAGAGTTCTAGTCTCGCTCTTGATTGAACACTCAACGTGAACTGAGCCCCCATGGCACGAATGTCTGGGGGCCCCCAAGAATTACGTGGACGAGGGAGGAATAGTTCAAGGGAGGCCAAGCATCACCCCTTCCGCATCTATTATTTACTTCCTTTCCGGCTACGCTTTGCGGTTTTTCGTTGTTTCGTGCTATTACTGGCTTCAAGGGAGAAAGGCGGTCAAACTGCAGGTAAGGCGCAAACTGTATCTTCGTTTCTACGGAGGGTCCCCCCTTATTAGCGCAAAAATGATCCCGAGAGCAGCTGAAATTTCATTTTCAGTGTTTATTCTTTAGTTTCACTAAATTTTGCAGGTCTTTAAGCACGAAAAGCAGAGCCGACTGGCTGCTCTGCCCAACAAAACTGTGCCGCCCGTCTAGGCTGCGTGACGGAGAGAGTTTTCCGGGCAGAAAACTTGATTCTCGTTACCTTTTTTTCAGAAGCTATTACGAAAATGGCGAATGGAGAGGGGGATTTTTCCGGGTTGACGCTTGTAGAACTCTTGGACAAGCTTTCCACCAACGCCGATTTACGATCTGCCCTTCCGTCGCTTTTCAAAGAATGCGGTACGACTTGGGCTTTGCTCTTCTTTTGTGGGAATTTGGGTAGGGAGAGATCCTGAGGTTCCCCCGTGTGTGCCCCACCACCTCTGGCATTGGGACATGGTGCTTAATTTGCCTCCTATGTTGTTTCATGTGCCTTCGAAGTGCGTATCTGCGTCTGTGCGTGCAAAAATATTCCGCGGACGTCGAAACGCTTAAGGCCGTATTAGCAAAGCCCTGCGCAGCACGAAAGTCACAAAGTCGGGCACCAGCAACAGCTTCGGGGAGGAACAGCTGTCCGTGGATCTGCTGGCGGAGCGTCAGCTGAGGAATTGGGCCAAGAAGTGCCCATTCGTGAGGGCCATAAGCAGTGAAGAAGAAACAAGTCTGGAGGTAACAGCTGCGCTTTGTGGTTCCTCTTCCTGTCTGCCGTGAGGCCCGGAAGAACGATGTGTGAAGTGTGTCTCACCTTTTCCCAGCTAGTATGCGTAAGTGCACGCCTTCCCATGGCATTTTTCATATGACTTTCTCTTGTTTTCCAGTTGCTCGTTCTCGCTTACTTCTCAGGAAGTCAATCCTGGGGGCTCCCTCGTTGTTTGCTGGGACCCTCTGGACGGGAGCAGCATAATTGACTGCAACTGGAGCGTCGCATCGATCTTTGGAATTTGGCAGATTGGACAAAAGGGGTTGCAGTGGAAAGGGCCAGCCACACTTATCGGTGCCACAGGTGCGGGAGTGTCTCCCCATATGAATTGCCGTCCTTCCCCCCGCTGCCTATTCGCCCAATGATTACAACGCAAGCCCAATGGGTATTTATTAAACAGCTATTCAAAAAAAATTCCCTGTAGAGGATACGCTTTAGACCAAGTTAAGAGCATCGATGGGTAGACCATTCGCAGGTGGCTGCACGTCTGCTTTCTTCAGGCCGTCAGCTAGTGGCGGCGGTTTTGGTCATCTATGGGCCACGAACGACTGCCCTGCTTTCTGCTGGTGGCTCAACGTTCGACCTTCAGCTCGATCCAGAGGAAGGGGATCCTGTGGTCTTGAGGGGTCCCTGCAGTATCCAGAAGGAAGGGGCGAAGATCTTCTCTCCTGCAAACCTCAGGGCTGCCCAGGACCTGCCGGCGTACAACAGAATGGTGCAGCGGTGGATGGAGAAAAGATTCACACTTAGATACACAGGTTTGCATGTACCGTAGAGCCATTTCTGGTTATCTGCTGAGCTCTGAAGCGTTTGACACCAATTCCAGGAAGAAGCACAGCACAGTATGGCCTCCAGCCCCCTTGCTGGGGCACTTCGATTTTTTGGTATATTTTTCCGTGTTTATCCGGCATGTGCTGGTAGGGGGGCTCGGTCCTGACGTCTATCAGTTGTTTGTGAAGGGCCACGGAGTCTTCTGCAACCCCGCGAGCAATGGGGCGCCAGCGAAGCTTCGTCTTGCGTATGAAGTGGCGCCGATAGCTTTCCTAGTGGAGGCCGCGGGGGGCCGTTCGAGCAATGGGAAGTGCTCTGCTCTCGATGTGGTAAGGCAGCCGGGCTCCGATTATGTCTGCGAGTGAGAACATTAAGGCTTCTTGTCGTTTTATCTTCTAAATCCACAGAGCTTATCTCTGCTGGCCTGTACTGCAAGGGAGCTCTAAGTGCATGGATTGTTCGGAAGAGTGCGCAAAGATTTGGTTGCGCTGCGTGTTTTTGGACTGCTATCAGGCACTCGAAAAAATGGACCACCGCACAGCTTTCTGCTGCGGCACAGAGCAAGAAGTCACTGGTTTTGAAGCAGCGTTATGCTCATGAGGAATTTTGAGCTGCGTGCGGTGCATATTTGCACCTCATTCTTGCCGTCCTCGCTCCATTTGAGGACGAAATTTTGCAAGCGTTTCTCTGTCGTGCGTATCTATCTCTTAACGCGTCGGCAACGTTTCCCCACCCTTTCTGACCAGCTGGTGCAAATGCCCCACTGCAAGCAGCTCTAGCTTAGCCAGTGCGGCGTTGCAGCTGGGTGAGGTGCGATGCGTGCGTCACTCTGGCAGCAAGAGTTCGATATGCCAGGATAGAGAAACAAACTTCTCAGAGTTCACTTAACTTCTTTTGCGCCGTTGGCGGCGGGTTCCAGGCGCCAGTGCAGCAGCAGCAACCACGGAAACAGACGCAGCAGTTGCGGCAGCGAAAGCAACGGGGGCAGAGATAGCAGTTTTAGTGCGTGCAATTGCGGCTAGTGGAAATCTACAGCTCTTTTGTAGCCGTAAATGTGCTTTTGGAACTTTGTAACACTGAAAGGACATCGCTTCATGGCCATAAAACTTGTCGAAATTCGACTTGAAATTATTCGGGGAAAAAACAGGGGCTGCTGAGCCCCCCCCCCCC